CCCCCCCTGGGTGATCTGGTCGGCCCCCGTGTGGCGGCCGCGCCAGGCTTTGCCCTGGCCCCCCTGCCGCAGCGTCGGCATCACCAGCCCCTCCAGTTCCTCCTGCGGCAGCAACTGGGCGATGCTGACGCAGGCTTCCACCGCCAACAGCCGCACCGAGTCCTGGCGGAGGGGACGCGGTGACGTAAGCCGGAAGGGGGGGGGGGACGGGGACGGGAGACACACACGGGGACGTCACCGCCAGGCAGAGGGGACGCGGGGGCGCGGCCGTTACCTGCTCGTCGGAGGCGAGGTTGGAGAACATGGGGATGATCTCGCTCTTGACGTGTTCCAGCTCCAAAACTTTGGCGAATTCACCCAATTTGGAAGCGGCGGCGCGACGGACCATGGGGGTGTCGTCCGAGCAGAGGTTGCGGAAGTATCTGGGGGAGGCGGGGACAACCCTTGGGGACATCGCGAGACCCTCGGGGACATGGCGAGACCCTCGGGGACATGGCGAGATCCTCGGGGATGCGCTATGGGGTCGTTGGAGCAGGCGGTGAACCCCAAAATGGGCCACGGGGGCCAACGTGAAGACCCGAGGTGGATCTAGAGCGGGTTGAGGGACACCAAAGATGGGTTGGGGACACCGGGGATGGCTTGGGGACACCGAGGTTGGGTTGGGGACACGCCACAGGGTCTGCGTCACCAGGCCACGAACCGAAAAAACGGGCCACGGGGCCAACATGAAGAACCTTGGACTGGCCAAGAGCTAGTTGAGGGATGTGAAGGATGGGTTGGGGCCACCAAGGGTGGCTTGGGGCCACCAGGGAGGGGTTGGGGCCACCGGTGACACCTTAGGGACACGCCACAGGGTCTGCGTCACCAGGCCACGAACCGAAAAAATGGGCCCCGGGGCCAACATGAAGAACTTTGGGCTGATCCAGAGTGGCTTGAGGGACACCCAAGTTGGGTTGCGGCCACCAAAGTTGGTTTGGGGCCACCAAAAGTTGGGTCGGGGCCACTGGTGACGCTTTGGGGAGGTGCCGTGGGGTCGCTGGACCAGGCCGCGAACCCCAAAATGAACCACGGGGGTCACTGTGGGCACCCTGGGCTGACCTAGAGCAGCTTGAGGGACGCAAAGGATGGCTTGGGACCACCAAGAGGGGCTTGGGGCCACCAGGGAGGGCTTGGGGCCACCAGGGAGGGCTTGGGGACACATCACGGGGTCACCCCACCAAACCATGAGCCCAATAACAGGCCAAGAGGCCAGCACCAAGACCCTAGGGCCACCTGGAACCGATCTAGAGCCACCATCATTGGCGTGTGGCCACCAGGACCAACTTGGGGCCACCAAGGATGGCTTGAGGCCACCAAGAGATGGCTTGGGGACAACAGGGCCACCTCGGGGACGTACCATGGGGCCACCGCGACCGCGCCACGGGGCAAATAACAGGATAAGGAGCCAACGTGAAGACCCCGGGACCAACCCAAACCAGACCAAGCGCCACCAAAGTTGCCGTGGGGCCACCAGGGACGGCTTGGGGACAACGGGGCCACCGCGGAGGTCACTCACTGTCGCAGCTCGGCCTTGACGGGGCTGGAGACGCGCGGGTAACAGACGCTGAAGAGGCCGCAAGCGGAGGTGCGGGAGGTGAACCAGTCGCCTCCCGCCAGGCGCTTCACCAAGGGGACGAAGTGACCTTCTAGGTCGGGTGGGGTGTGCTCGTGGGACACCGCCCGCAGGGACTCCACCGCCTTGTCCCGCACCACCGTCTCCTCCACGGTGGCCAGGCTCTCCAGGGGGGGCTGGAGGAGGAGACGCGGGGTCACCCCCAAATCCTGACGCCCCCCCCGAGGTCCCTCAGGTCCCCAACGTCACCCTACGAGGAGCCCAACGTCCCCCCAACCAACCCAACGTCCCCCTGAAGAACCCAACGTCCCCCCAGGTCATCTCAATGTCACCCCTGAGGACCCCAATGTCCCCCTTGAGGACCCCAATGTCCCCTCAGGGAGTTGGGGGGGGCTCCAGGGGGTCGCCCCCAAATCCTGACGCCCCCCCAAAGGTCCCTCAGGTCCCCAACGTCCACCCAACGTCCCACCACGGAGCCTCAGGTGCCCACAGGGGTGGGACCCAGGCGTCCAGGAGGGGGTCAGGGGGGCACCCAAGGGTCTGGGGAGGGGACCCAA